CACCTTCAAAGGCAGCCATTTTCCCCAGGAGAAGTGGAATAAATGTTTTAAATAAAGAAATAAGCTGTTTATGTAGCCTGGAGATCAGTTTGGGATTCCAGGAGATCTCCAGCCCCCACCTGGAGGCTGGCAACCCTAGGCTTGGAGGGAAATATCCTGTCCCTTTTACATCAGTTGGATCTACCGTAATTACCAGGTGATGTTATTTCCTTCCATGCCACGAAAAGATTCAATTGCTCATTTCCACACACATTAAGCCTCTGTTAAAGGAACAAGACATTTTTCTCCAGACAACCTCAGAGACCGCGGGAGGGAGCATCAGCTGTCTGGATGGTTTTCTAGAAGTTTTCCTTAAATCTCCGTAGGGTCTGGAACTAAACAGAAGTCACTGTGGAGAGGAAAAAAACCTTAGCAATAAAGCATACTTAGCATTTATATAGCTCTTTCACCATCCTTCCCACCAATGGTTTTGTTGTAAATCTTGCATATAAATAGGCAGGATGGGTTGTTTAAAATATTTAAAGCCCACACTTCAAGTAAGGACAGCTAGAGAGATTCTTTCCAATTCCCTATAATTAAAACAATAAAACATGCCAGCTACCCAATAACAATTGAGAGGACCAGCAATAGAACAACAGCGAAAGCACAGAGAGACCTGCTACATCAAGGATCAATAATAAAACATTATCATTTTGACAGAGAGCAATGAAGGAGGCAGAACTGACCATCAATGAATGGGGTTGAGAGGGAACTAAACAAAAAAAAGTCAGAGAAATAAGCTATATATTTTCCTGACACCAAAAATTCAACAGATTTCACTTTAGGGTAATGGCTACTGGTGCCAAAACAGAGAAGGACTTGGTGCTGGCATATATAAGAACATAAGAAAAGCCCTGCTGGATCAGACCAATAGTTCATCTAGTCTAGCATCCTGACTCACGCAGGGCATAGAAGTCGATGCCTTCCTCTTATGCTGCCTCTGAATGGGGTGGTTCCCCTCAGTCACCATGGCTAGTAGCCATTGATAGACTTATCCTCCATGAATCTATTTAAATCCCTTTTAAAGCTGTTTATTCCTGCAGCCATCACTATATCCTCTGGCAGTGAATTCCACATTTTAATCCCTCTGTGTGTAAAGTAGTATTTCCTTTTGTCCATCCTGAACCTACTGCCCGTCAGTTTCATGGGATGGCCTCAAGTTCTAGTATTTTGGGAGAGGGAGAAATCCATTTCACTTCCAAAGGTGAGGACTCCTTTAAGGGTTAAGGCCTCTTACATAGAAGTGGTTTAATAAGATAGACAAGGTCAGGATGTCCCTTTTCTTCTGGTGGGGCTTGCACCTTCTACCTGGCAGGGGCGTTTAAACCATCATGACTGGCAGATATTCAATACATGGAGATGTAGAAACAAGGCTTCATCTGTTGAGCTTCTACCTGTCACCCTGGATACAGGAAACACAAGAGCGGCAGGCTTGCTGTTGTTACAGTGCTTAGAAACTATGCCTACTACCCCAACTGAAAACAGGATTTAAAAAAAATGGCTGGACTTCTGTGTCTTTAAAAGTCTATACAAAGGGCAGACATTCAACCTCTATCTGTGGCAAAACAAGGAATTAAAAGAGCTGCAGTATTTAAAACTTGTCTTATCTCCTTGGACTCAAGGCAGCTAACAAAACAAGTTGCACAGATGCAACAGCAACACTACAGTCTATTAACATGATAAAAGCAGCTTACAGATTCAAAATGTAGTGTTCCGGATATGTACAAAGACAGTCATTGCATGCAGAATAGTAGCATATCAGGGAGAAGAGTTCTAACCCAATCTTTTTCCTGACATCCTAGTTTTCTGTGTCAAGGGAAATTGTTTACACAGAGGAGCATAAAATCATTTGAGCTCAGCTGTAGTCAAAACTGGTATGGCCTAGACACTGGTTTACCACATAAATGAGTAGGCCCCTATGGGTGCTTCTATGCCTGTTTGCTTTGAGGTAAGTCCCCTCAGGTTCAGTGGGGCTTATTCCCAAATAGATCAACATAAGAGCAGTTCAACAGTCCCCTTTTCATCTTCTGGTCAAATTCCACCTTCCCTTTTTGGCTATTCCTCCAAATTGCTTAATTATAGTCTTCTCACCTGAAAGGTTACTTTCATTTCTGCTAGACAGCATGACATAATAGCCCAACAAAATCTGTGCTGCTTTCAGGCACCAAAGAAGGAAGATTTTGATTAAGCAGTTATTTTATCCCTGCTCCTTAGTTTGGGATATGATAATAGAAAAAGAGCTGGGTAAAAAAGATGCTGTTGAAAGTGAACAGAATATATTGATAGTGAAAACATACAATGTTACAATGAAATGTACAATAAAGCAATTAGTCTGGGATGCTTTTCCTTCCATTTCTATGCTTTTGCGCCAGTTTTTAATTGCTGCCATCACATCTGGCTGATTTATTTTCTGTCATTTAGATTTTTCCTTTGCTTGTAATTAGAACAAAACAAAAATCTAGCAGCATCATAAAGCCTAACAACGGGTCCGGTCACACGGGCAGGAAAATGTGTGTGGGGGGAGCGTGGCTGTTTCCCCCCGGAGCAAAATAACGCGCAGTTGCGCAATCAGACGTCCGGTCAAGGTCCTGTCGAGGTCCCATGGTTAGGGGGGAGGTGCCGATCACACGACCATCCTGCAGCGCGGCAAAGAAGCAGCGCGGCACAATCACAGCAGCAATGGCTAGGCGCCACTGCTGTGGCAAACGGGGTTGTGTATTTTTTTTAAACCGCAGTGTGCGCATGCACCATTGGGTGCTTGTGCGCATCCCCTGGAGACTTGGGGGGGGAAACCTTTTTGTGACGGGACATGGGCGGGCGCCGGATGCCACAAACTACCACCGGAAACGCGATCAGACGCCCGCCCTTGCCCCGCGGTTTCCGGAAACTAGTACCTCGGAGGTACTCGTTTCTTACAGCGCATCTTCGGCGGGAAGCCTCGGGTTAGCCACGGGAGCTCTACGCTTCCCAGATGTTGCGGTGAGATCGCGCCGGGAAAATCCGCCTATCTTCCGTCTCTGTAGCATAGCTAATGCTCCGTGTGACCGCAGCCAACATATATTTCAGAACAAAGTTTGAGTCCAGTGGTACCATTAAGATCTATGAGGTTTTACTCAAGGTATAAGTTTTCATGTGCATACACACGGTCCACTTTGTCAGAGACATGATGGAAAACTGAACTGGGCAATTTTTTCCATCACATATCTATCTGACAAAGCAAGCTGTGACTCACAAAAGCTCATACTGAAATGAACGTTGTTAAGTCTTTAAAGCTGCCACTGGGTTTTTGTTCACTTTTGCTATAAATACTTACATATACTTTCAAAACATTGTTTTAACGTTTTACCTGTTTTAGATAACTTTTCTGCCTTGGGGGACTCTGTTTGGGTGGAGAGGCAGCACATGAACGTTTTAAATAAATAAATGAACACCAATTAACACGGCTACCCCTTTGGAATAAGTTGAATACACTTGCTGTTTGTTTTGACGGTTAAAAAGCCTCCCAGCAGTCAGTGACAGACAAGAATTCGTTTGACACCGTCTGCGTTAGTGAACCAAAGAATGTGGCTTTTTAAAAAACATAAAAGTTGTTATTTCAAAACATAGCTCGAAAAAAGTAAAGAGGAGCTTCACGCGCCCCTCTAGCGCCTATGAAGGATCCTACAAACTGCAATACAAAACCGGAAGTGTCTAAAACTCTTTGTGCGAATTCTTCCTCCACCTGTAAGTGCAGAGCGCCCAGGATCACCATATCTCTATGGCCGAATGGGAAAGTACGGCAGCAAAGTCGTAGAGTTAGAAAAAGTGACACATATACACACAGATAAGCTTCCGGTAACCAAGTGAAAGCCACCGCCTGCCGCTCTAGGTTCTGCATTTTCTATGATGAAACCCACCATGTCTTTTACTGGAAAAGTAGGGAAGCCGGAACTGCCCATAATATGTCCGTTTCTACCTCGGTGAGGGATACAGGACACCCGGTGCAACCCCTCCGATCTCAACTATTATTTTTGTAAAGCACACAAACTTCCAGTGCAAATGCCCACAGACCTTTCCCCAGAGAAGGCCCAAAGCTACAACAGGCTAATTCCGCAAAGACACCAGACCTATCGGAAGTGACGCAACCATGCAGGCAACGAAATTATTACCAACGAATAAACGTTCCTATATAATTTCTAAGGAATTCTTTAACAAGAGTGTCATTTTGCTTACTTTTCTTTTTTTTAATTTCGAAACTGTAACTGGTTTACAACGGAGGCTCCTGAAAATGCGTACGAGATAGAGAAGACTCAATGGGAGTCCTCACTTCCGGTAATTACCGCTTTCAACGGACTCCATTCCATAGAGAGGTCGAGGGAAAAAGCGACCCCCCCTTTCTCTCAGAAACCCCCCCCCAATGGTGGCTTTCCAAAAAAAAATCACCGGAAGCAGCTGTTACGTGCCGCTCTAGCCTCCCCCTTTCCATGACCCACCTTGCCTCCTCTCCCATTCTGCACGCGGCCCCTCCCTAAGGAAAGAGCGAACCCCCCCTTCCCCCAGAACCCCCCCCCCCAAATGGTGCCTTCAACAACAAAAAAATCACCGGAAGCAGCTGTTACGTGCCGCTCTAGCCTCCCCCTTTCCATGACCCACCTTGCCTCCTCTCCCATTCTGCACGCGGCCCCTCCCTCCCTCTCCCGACGCTAGCCCTAGTCAGCCAATGGCTGCTTCGGAGAGGCCGGCCGGCCCCGCCCAGGCCCTGATCAGCTGATGGCTGGCAATGTCTGTTGACAGGAGTAGCCTCAGCGGCAGGATTCGGGTGTAAGAGGCGGCCGGGGTGGTGGGGGAGGGGAAGGGAGCCTGGCGGGGGAGGAAGAGGTGGAGGCTCCCCCCTCCCTTGTCGGCTCGCCTCAGGCCTGCACGGGGGGGAAGAGGAAGGGGAGCCTGGCCCTGGAATGGGGCGCTGGGCAAGAGCAGCAACAGCTGCCCCAGCCTTGTGACTCTCCAGGCCTTCCGGGGAGGCTGGATGCAAAACAAGGGGGAGGTATTTGGCTGCAGCTTTTTAACACCCCCTCCCCTTCAAAGACATTCTCCCGGCCCAGAGGGGTGTCACCTCAGAGGGAGGGGGGGTTGGAGAAACCGAAAGGGGAACTCCGAGGAGGGGGATGTGTGGGTGGTGATGGAGGGGGAGGGGAGATAGTTTGCAGAAGTTGGAAACCGCAAGGCGGGAGGCGATGCAATCGTGAGCGGTGATTGCATGAGTAGAAGTGTGCAGGGGGAGGAATGCAGGCGGTCGGGCTCTGTGGTTGGCTCTGGCTATTTGTCTATTTGTGTGTGTTTTAATAGGGAGAGAATCCCTCGAGCATGGTGGTGGGCAGAGACGGGAGGAGGCTGCAATAAAAGAAAGCGATAGAGGGTGTGAAGAGAGTGATGAGGATATATATAGAGTTAAATACAACAGGAAGGGAAAGGGAGCCAGAATGGAAGTGCTGTTGCCAAAGCAGGAAGGGAGGAAAGTGGTCTGTTTGGGGTGGGGTCTCTGGCATTGCAGCTGCTTAAGCCCTTCTGTAAGAGCAGGGCCCGAGGGAACTTGGTTAGATTTAATTTCTGAGTGAATGGCTCCAGGACTGTGATGTAAATTACATCCCTCCCAGCCCCCAGTTGTGGGCACTTCTGGGTCCTCACTTCCTTCTCCCGTATTGTTCCCCCCCCCCCAGATGTAAATCCAAATGGAGCAGTTGGGAATCAGAGGCCAGATAGAGCTGCTAAAACAGCAACAGCCTTGGGGGAAGCTGATCCGGTTAGGAGCTGGAGAAGCTGAGCCGCATGTCTTGCTGCTGAAGAAAGAGTGGACGATTGGAAGGAAAAAAGGTGAGGTGGAAAATATTTGAGCAGTCGGTGGTGGGGGGGGAGATATGTAGGCAAAGTTCAGCAGAAGGCGGGGTTTCAGTTGATCCTTTCTCTGCAGTTTTCCACACTAGCAAAGAGTGAGGAAAAGCAAATTCTGTGATTTTTTTTTAGCAATCTGGGATTTCATCTGTTTCTGAGCTTTTGGTGTTCTAATGCCACAGGACAAAGTTGCCTACCTTTTCCATTTCTAACTGAGCACGTGCAACCAACATGCTACTTTCTGTAGTTCGGACAAATTTGTTGCATCTGTTTTCTTTTGTTCCTAGAACTGTTGCATGTATTATTTTCTTTAAAAAGGATGTACATCTCAATATGCAGCCTGTTTTCTCCAAGAATTCTGTATTATCAGAGATTGAGAACATCAGTTACACCTAAATAATTGAAGAACAAGGTTTGAGTCCAGTGGCACCTTTAAGACCAACGGAAGTTTTGTTCAAGGTATAAGCTTTCATGTGCATGCATACTTCTTCAGATAAATGCACACAAAAGCTTATATCTTGAATAAAACTTTGTCGGTCTTAAAGGTGCCACTGGACTCAGACTTGGTTCTGCTACTTCAGACCAAGATGGCTACCCACTTGAATCTACCTAAATATTTGATGCCGATGAGTATGTTGGAACTCCATTTTTTCTGTTTCTTTTAAATGTCAGTATGAGATTTTCAAATATGACTAATTTTTTCCACATCTGTATTTGTTTTTCATACTTGCAAAGTGTACCAGACAAAATAACATAAGTTAAACTCTTGTTTATTTATTTATTTTTATTTACGTTCACATTTATATCCCGCCCATCCCGTAAATGGACTCAAGGCGGGTCACAGCATTTCAATAAATACAATAAAATTTAAAACACATTAAAACATATAAAAGCAGTAGTCATGCTTGCCATAGGGAGAATCCGGCCCATTGATGTAACTACATGTGACCAGTTGTCAGTGGGTGGGAGACCGCAACCTGGGGGGGGGAGAGCATATGTGGACACCTGCTGCTTCAGCCAAAGGCCTGGTGGAACAGCTCCGTCTTGCAGGCCCTGCGGAATTGAATAAGATCCTGCAGGGCCCTGATCTCAATAGGGAACATGTTCCACCAGGTGGGGCCCAGGGCAGAAAACCCTGGCCGAGGGTAGGCGGATGTCCTTTGGGCCAGGGATCACCAGGAGATATTGACTCTCAGAGCGTAACTCATTTATTTACTATATTATTTAGGAGATTTAAGGTTGCCAACTCTAGCCTGGGAGATTGTTGGAGGTCTGGGGATGGTGCCTGTAGAGGGGAGAATTTGGAGAAGGATTTCATCTGGAAGCACCCTCTGAAGGTGCCACTTGCTCCAAGGGAATTAATTGATCCCTGTAATTTGGAGATCAGTTGTAATTCTGAGAGGACCCCAGGCCCTGCCTGGAGGCCTACTTACTCTTCGACTTTCTGTTACTGAAATAGTGTTCGTGGTGGTTTACAACATAAAATGTAAAATTAAAAAAATAAAATAAAATGGTAATCCAAAACTGAGAATTTGACCATGCTTCTATCATTCCACAAACTATGAGATTGCTGAATTACAAGTTATCATAACACTCAGGACAATGGAACCCCCAGGGCTTAACAGAGATATCAGGTTCTTATCTCACTACACATGCTAAGGCACTCAGTTCTCCCATCTGTCTATAACTCTTTTATTATCTATGCTAATTTGGTGCTATTCACAGGTCTTACCAGCTGCTCAGTTACTTATGTGTCTTGCCCTTCCTGGCAACTAACACCCCCTCACCCTCTCTCTACCTATATGTAATGGTTGTGGAGGTCTGTTTCACTGTATCTGAAGAAGTGTGCATGCACACGAAAGCTTATACTCAGAATTAAACTTTGTTGGTTTTAAAAGTGCCACTGGACTCAAACTTTGCTATGTTATCCACAATTATTCAGGAGCCAGTTTTTGTAAAGGTAATTGGACTGTACTGTAACAAAGTTTTTCAAGAGGGTGCCCTCTCTCTACCTATATGTAATGTTTGTGGAGGTCTGTTTCACTGTATCTGAAGAAGTGTGCATGCACACGAAAGCTTATGCTCAGAATTAAACTTTGCTGGTTTAAAAAGTGCCATCCAGAATTATTCAGGAGCCAATTTTTGTAAAGGTAATAGGGCTGTACTGTAACAAAGTTTTTCAAGAGGGTTTTTAAATATATGCAGTGGGATTGTGGACAACAGCATTGTGTATGGTATGTGCTGTCTGTTTGATTTATGTATTATATTGCACTCCTTCGCACTCTCTTTTACTTATGTAACACCATTTTCTCCATTACTTAGCATATTATGTCTAATTAATACTTTTTGCTTGGTTTCAAATCTCAGTAATTTTACTCTGGTTTCATTGCTTGTATCATCCTGTTGATTGCATTGACTTACTCGGTGTCATGTACTTTGGGTCTGTGTGAGAAAGGTGGACTATAAATAAACAAAACAGCAGTAAGAATTAAAACACTAAAATCAGCAAAGAGCATCCAAAGAAAGTACATTCATCAGTGATTATTTAATGATGTGTTCAAGCTGGAATTCATTTTCACTTTTTAAAGAAAACACCATAACATGTAGTTAGATCGTAGCCATCAAATACATGTTGAAATAAAACTTCCACCGTTCCAATACAAAAATGTTGTGGTAGCACACTATCAGGATTGTCCATATGAGGGACTTGTTTTGATCTAGTCTGGCCATGCGTAGTCCTCTGAGGGTATCATTCCCAAAGCACTCTCACCTAGGTTGGATGTAACGCTGGAGAAAGATGCAGGAGAAGAGCACAAGTGCTTTTGTTTTTATACAAAATCAGCTCTTAAATCTATATGTGAATCACACATATCAGGAATGGGCAAGTGGGGAATGTATGACTGTGGGGACTGCTGGTGACACATTAATGCATTTGAAGTCAAGGTCACAGTTTCTGCATGTCCCCTAGTATCCTGAAAAAGACATACCAGGATGTGTTAATGATTTTTTAAAATTAATATCTGTTTAGTTTTACCTCTATTTAAGGTTTATGCCCAATGAGAGTATTGATTCAGTGTGTAGCAGTAGTGAAAATAGCAAACTCTTGGGAGCATTGGTGTGGACTGCTGGTGACACATTAATGCATTTGAAGTCAAGGTCACAGTTTCTGCATGTCCCCTAGTATCCTGAAATCTTTTAAGACGTACCAGGATGTGTTAATGATTTTTTAAAAGTAATATCTGTTTAGGTTTACCTCTGTTTAAGGTTTATGCCCAATGAGAGTATTGATTCAGTGTGTAGCAGTAGTGAAAATAGCAAACTGTCTTTGGTTTGTTACAAAAGGAGCTGAGGATAGAGCATCCAGCACCTTAATGCCCTTATATAGATTTATGGTGCAACCTCAGTTGGAATGCTGTGTAGAGTTATGGTCAAGCATTTTTCAAAAGAGGATATTATTGTCAATACATGAAGCTACCTTATACTGAATGGTCCATCAAAGTCAGCATTGTTTACTCAGTCGGAGAGCAGCTCTCCAGGGTCTCAGGCAGAGGTCTTCCACATCACCATCATCTACTGCCAGATCCATTAACTGGAGATGCTGGGGATCAAACCGTCCACCTTCTGCATGCAAAGCAGATGCTCTACCACTGAGCCACAGCCCCTCCCCATGGAGAAAATGCAAAAAGGAGTGATGAAAAGTATACTAAGGTTGCAGCACTTCCACTGTAAGGAAAGTTTGAGGGGGGGAAATCAACTAAGGAGTATACAATAGAGGTTCATAGAATTATGATTGGCGTGGAGTAAATGGATACATTTTCACTTCCCAAAATATTAGAACTTAGCAGTATCCAGTGAAATTGATGGGAAGTATTCAGGAGAGACAAAAGAAAACACTTCTTCATACAATGCATAATTAACTTGTGGAACTCACTGCTACAAGATGCAGCCCTGCCCTTTAGCTTAGATGGCTTTAAACGGGGATTAGGTAAATTCATGGAGGTTAAGGTCCATCAGTGACTACTAGCCAAACGTAGAACTATATCAGATATGACAACGTTGGTTAGTAAAAACTGCATTTGGAAACAAAGACATCAGACGCATTATACAAACAGGTAGGAGGGAAAGGCAACTTAACAGAAGCGTATTAAGCTGAGAACAGTTTTAGGTGGGTAGCCATGTTGGTCTGAAGCAACAGAACAAAGGTTGAGTCCGGTGGCACTTTTAAGACCATTATATTGTTGTACTATATTTATATTGTTGGAACCTGCCCTGAGCCAGTTAAGGGGAGGGCGGTCTACAAATCCAAAAAATAAATAATAAATAAAAACTAAGTTTAATTCAGGGTATAAGCTTTCATGTGCATGCCCACTTCATCAGTGTCAGTACTGAATATATATTGTATTAGGATTTTAGTATCTATTGTTATATGGAGCTGCGGTGGCTCAAGTGGTTAAGACGCTGAACTGCAGGCTGTGGAAGGTCAGTAGTTCAGCAGTTCAAGACCCGAGTGGGCTGCATGACGGAGTGAGCTCCCGTCTCTAGTTCCAGCTCCTGCCAACCTAGCAGTTCGAAAGCAAGAAATTGCAAGTAGATAAATAGGTACCACTTCGGTGGGAAGGTAACAGCGTTCCGTGCGCCTTGGTGTCTAGTCATGCCAGCCACATTACCATGGAGACGTCTTCGGACAGCGCTGGCTCTTCAGCTTTGAAACGGAGATGAGCACCGCAACCCTAGAGTCAGACAACTGGCTTTCGAGCAAGGGAACCTTTACCTTTACCTATCTATTGTAATATTTTTGTTTATCTGTCTTTTTGAGTTATTTCATGTTCCATTGAGCTTCTTGATTTTGTAACATGTAAACTGTTGAATTTTTAATAAAGCAAATTAAAAAAAAACAATCAGTGTCAATAGAAAAAGAGAGATTTGCTCTGTCCAAATCTTGAGGTCACCCAGTAAAACTGATAGCAGGTTCATTTGGACCTCCTCTTGCTTTCAAAATAATATACAGAAGATGATTGATCAGGACCAGGTCCATTGCTAGTGATCTCCAGCACCAACTTACCTGGCTTCTCAGGACGACCCTGTATTTCTACCTCTCCACCCTCAGCATCCCCAACAACCACCCTATGACAGAGATTAGGCTGAAAGAATGACTGAGGTCACTCCAGCGATCTTCACTGCTGTTTTATTTTTGTCAAATAAAAGGCTTTGGTCTGATCCCACAAGGTACAGTTCCTACCTTCTTAGATCCTCACAGCTCCTCCTTGGTCTTCTCCTGCATTCCATGTCCTGCATCTTGGATGGGCAGCTGTCTCTTGGTTTTTGTTGGATTGTTAGAGGCATCTTGCCAGATACTCTTTAGATGTGGCAAGTGTAAAAAAAAAAAACCATCAAGATAGTTATGCATGTATGTTGACATTTATGTTTGTTTCATAGGTTGTGACTTATCCTTTCCTGGCAACAAACTGGTGTCCGGGGATCACTGCAAAATAACTGTGGATGAAGAATCTGGCCAAGTGTTACTGGAGGATACCAGGTCGGCTTTGCTTGAACTCTTCCTGCTTTCTCTGTTGTGTTTTGTTGGAGAAAATGCCTTGGTTAGTGTTCACAATATGGAGGTCCTTTTAGTAGTTGGGCTCCAGGGTGTTTTTCTCTCTCTTGGGCCACGTTGCATACCAAGAGCAGATTTGTTGCCCTAGTTTCCCCTTTGGAAGCCTGGGAACTGTAGTTCTGTGAGGGCCTTCCTGCAAATGATTCTTTAAATCCTTTCACTGGTGCAATTCGCAGGCTAGGTCAGTGGGGAAACTACAACAGCTGTACTGTCCTTTGGATGCCAGTGGTTGGGGGCCTTTGGGGGGCACTTCTTAGTATTCCCCTTTGTGTCTGTCACTTCCTGTATTTAAGTTGTTCCAGTTCACACACCAGGGCTTTGCACATATGTAGTCCTTGTTGGGAAGGCTTTGGCTTCCTTATCTCTCTTTTTTAAAATAGTTTTCTGCAAACCTGGGAAGTGTGCAGAATCCATTCTTGTCTGTAGGTGACCCCGTTTTATCATTCTAGTTGTTTGCACAACGGTACCAATTTTGCTGTTAAATGGTGCTCTAGATTTGCCAGAACACAGGTGGGTATACATCAAAGAATTGCTTTGAAAATGGCTACAACTATGCAAAAATATTTATAAGAGTAATATATCAAATCGTCGCATATAATCCACAATATCACATTATGAAGCATGTACATCCACTGCTAACCAAACAACAGATAACACAGTCTCTAATTGTTGGTAACACTAATAAAAATCCCCAGGGTTATATCCGTCGAGACATCTTCAAAGCCTGTTCTCTGCACACAGATGTATGTCAGCTGAGATGATTCTATTTAAGCTTGTTGGGATTTTTTAAATATCTGCTGAAACAGTCCTCTTTATCGGCTGAGACAGTTCTCTACAGGTTCCCGGTGATCTTTAATCCTGTTTCTGAATTCCTCTCGTCAGAAAACTTGTCTTCAAAAATGTTCAAAAATATTAAATCGAAAGGTTTAGGCACCACAATATAACATGGAGTTCTCTCTTCGAAAAGTAAAACTGGCCACCTTCAATTTGATATATTCTTCTTATATTTTCACATAGTTGTAGCCGTTTTCAGAGTGATTCTTTGTTGTATACTGCTACGCTGTGAATCCTTGTTGTTAAACCAACCCCTGGTGGGGCCTGGCGATCTCCCAGAATTACAACTGATCTCCAGACAGTATTTCAGTTCCCCTGGAGTAAGTGGCTGCTTTGGGGGGAGGGGTGGACTCTCTGACAGTATACCCTGCTGAGTTCGCTCTCCTGCCCACCCTCCACCAGATCCGTCCCTCTAGAATTTTTCCAAACCAGAGCTAGTAACCCTAGGGTACATACTGGTGGCCCACAAGGGAACATGAGAAGGGGAAACAGCTTGGATGTTTAACCCCCCCAAAAAAACCTCCCCCTCCCAGAATTTTACACACCCATGGATGGCATTGCAGCTGGCTACCACCCCACTCTTGCCCCTTTAATTATCAGCTTCTTTCAACATCCTATGCTCTTCAAGCAGGCCATTTTGGTTTTGCTTACCTTTGTTCTCTCAGTTAACTTGCACAGTCACTTTTTCTGGAGCTTTTCTCCCACCCCCCAAATCTGTGAGTTGCCTGCTATTGATGCTGCCATGATTGACATGTGAGTTGGACAATCTGTTACTAGAGACTGTAATGATAAAGAATGGAGCAGCTAGTCCTGGGAATAGGCCGATCTGTTCCAGCATCAAATATAGCCAGACAAATGTCTGTTGATGTAAACTATCTATCTCTTGCTTTTGGTGAAGCCCAAGGTGATTAACAGTGTGTCTTTTTAAAACCATCGCTATGGTGAAAGTGATTTTTTAAATGTATGCAGTAAAAAGAAGGGAGCCCTTAAAATTGGAAAGCTAATGGAGCATGAGAGCAACGTGAGATGGCTATTCTTAGCTGTGAGTTTACAGAGTGTTTTCGCTTTCACCGTTTCTCTCAGTGGCTGGGGAATTCCAACTTAACAGTGCTCTTGTTATGACTGGTATTTTTAGCTGTGGTTGAAAACTTGACTTGCAGTCTTAGAATTTTAAAAGCAGGGGCAATTAACCCCGCCCATGAAGCGGAATCCTTTACAGGGGTGTTGAACTCATTTGTTCCTAAGGCCGGATCTGATATAAATGTCACTTTGTCAGGCCAGGCCGTGTGTGCCGTAAAACATAATGCCAGGTACAGGAGATATAAACTTTACAAAGGACACAAGGAAACCCAAGTAACAATATTATTTTTTGCTCAAAATACAAACACGCTTAAAACATTCACACAGTATTTCCTTACCATATCTCCCTGATGCCTGCCCTCCCACTTCCACCGGCCATTACTCATTAGCACTGGCTGCTCCCTCTTAAGCTGCGGAGTCCTTTGAGCAAACATTCTACTTTGTGAGCTACTGGCGTTAAAGTTTTGAGCGAGCAATTTGGCTACTGCATTAATTAGTTAGCTCTGGAGCCCTCCTTCCTGAGCTAAGACAAAAATGTGTGAGCCAGAAGCTAAAAAACTATGAGCTAGCTGACAGTAACTCAGCTTAGAGGGAACGACCATATGCAGGGACATAATGCATAGCATCTGTCATCTGGCAATAAAGGCAATGACCAGTTGCTCGCAGGGCGGATAAGAGCCCTGGACAAGCCAGTTCTGGCCCACAGGCCATATGTTTGACACCCCTTCTTTTAAACTTTGTTTTGTCTGTGCAGGAGTTCTAGTATTATACCACTGTAACTTCAGTATAATGGGGTTTGGACATTTCTAGCAGCTATCCTGACTGGAAGGCAAAGCAGCATTATGTCATCTGTGTAGGGGGACTTTACTCTCTGACTAGCAAAGGGTCCTTAAAAGAAAAGGCATGTCTCAGGAAACAACTGTAAACAGAGAAGGGACTGAAATGCATTGTGGCACATAGAGCTATCAGTGGTGTCTTCCACACAGAGACAATTTTTCATGTAGCTCTCTCTAATGATGCAGAGGCATCTGCAGTGGCAACAAAGCATGTGCATGGAGGTTTCTCCTGAACTTTTTCCTTGCCTTGGCCCTTGATATCTACCGTTCTTACCCTCCCCATGCTACCAGAAAACTTTTCAGACTTAAAAAATCAAATAGTTGTATCATTATAGCTTTATAAAATGACATACTACTACTAGTTCCTAGCTTTTATTTTTAAAAGTACCTTTCTAACCTTTTTGTTGCAGAGCTATAAGGAGAAATGTGCCAGAACCTGACCCCTTAAAACTCTACAATGAAAAGGGCTAGAGAGTTGTTGTTGTTTCTTTAAGCTAGTAATTGGTACTAGAGATTCCAATAAATTGTTGTTAACAGAACACTATAGCAACATAGTTATTATTGATCTTACCTCTGATGGGTAGGGGGGGAAACAAGGAAAACGGTGTTGATGTGGGTGGGTTCCAAAGGTGTTTTGACTGCCGATTTTCTAAAAAGATGGCATCAAGGCGGGGGAAACCATGGAAATAGGATAGCAGAATGAATAGAATATGACATCACATGAATGTTCTGAAAAAAAGTGCTGCTGTAAAGAAGCCGAGGTAGAGCAAAGCATCCATGTGGAAACAGTCAGTGACTATTCTCCATGGATTACTCTAATTTCCTTTTCAAGCCATCCAAGCTAGTGGCCATCACTGAAGTAAGCTAGCTGGGACTGAAGGAATTGAGGTGTGTTTTTTAATTATTTATTTATTTTATTGCATTTATACCCCGCCCTCCCCGCGAACGGAGAAAAAGAAGTTGATAGGTATGAAAGCATCAGATGGCTTGTGGGATCATGAGAATCCATCTTACCCCTCATAAAGGCCTATTGTATTTATGGTTCATGACCAGTAGACCGTATTAACAGTGATGGCTAAATAGAACCTCCTTGGTCAGAAGCAGCGTATCTCTGAATATCAGTGCTAAGTGCCTTAAGTGGGAGGTTAGTTTTTTTAAAAAAAAAATTATTAGATTTTAAAATTTTGAATTTTTACAATTATAACAAACTTCCAAGTAGATACAGTTCGTTTTGTACAAAATAATAACAGAGTTGCAAAATATCAAGTCGGAGGTTAGTTGACCTGCTAGTGGGCTTTCCCGGGAGGGTTAGAAGTGGAACTGTCTGGCTATTGTAGGAAACTGGATGCTGTACTAGATGGATCTGTGATTTGAGTCATCAGCATCCTAATAATATGGTGTGCCCAGATGGTCTCCCATCCAGGCACTGAACAGACGTAGCTTCAGCACAGTTGCTGCATTATGCCATACCGTTCTAAATGCAGCTTCTTTGAGGTTAATCTCCCTTTTTTAAAAAAAACACAAGTGATATTAATTATGCATCTTCTGTGCCATTTTGTGGCGGCTCTTCATGTATGAGTGTTCAAGAGATTGCCATCCAGACTTTCCTTTGGAGAGGTGTGTGTGTGTGAGACTGCCATTGAGTCGCTTCCGGCTTATGGCGACCCTATGAGTTACTGTCCTCCAAATATGTCCTGTCGTTAACAGCCTTGCTCAGGTCTTGCAAACGGAGTGCCTTTGTGGCTTCCTTGATTGAGTCAGCCCATCTCCTGCTGGGTCTTCCTCTTTTCCTGCTGCCTTCGACTTTTCCTAGGATGATTGTCTTTTCCGGTGACTCTTTGTCTTCCCATGATGTGACCAAAGCACGGATAGCCTCAGTTTAGTCGTTTTAGTTTCTAGGGAGAGTTCAGGCTTGATTTAATCTAGAAGCCGCTTGTTTGTCTTTTTGGCGGTCCGCAGCATCCGTAAAGCCAGATTTCTATCCACCAGGTGGCAGCAGTGGCTTTCCTTTGTTTGTTTTAGGGACTGAAGCAACATTTCGTGGTCAGGCTTTCTGGGTGCTTAGTAGTTCAAGTGCTAGTAAGTGCAGGTATGCATGCCTGTTCGTCGACAGGTCAGATATGGTGAAATGTCCTGTAGTAATGAGGTGATAACAGCAATTCTAGGAGGTAAAGCGGGGAGGTGTCACGGTTTGTTCTATGGTAAAATGAGCCTGAGTCATAGCCCTTAAATGGCACCCGAGGAGACCACCCTCTCTGCTTCCAAAGTTTGTTGTATCTTTTAACTGTCACGTGTTCTTGTCTCTTTTATCATTTCCTTCCTCCTCCTCTTCCTCCATTAATCATGAAGATGTCTTTTTTTAAAAAAATTCCTCTCTCTACCATTTACAGCACAAATGGAACAGTGATTAACAAACAGAAGGTGGTGAAGAAGCAGAGCTGTCTTCTACAGAACGGAGATGTGATCTATGTTGTTTACAGGAAAAATGAGCCAGAAAACAGTAAGGGGATGCTGCTGCTGCTTAACAAGGTCTTGAGTGTGGGGTGGGGAGTGTTGATGGCTTCTTCTAGAAGAAAATGGAAGGACACCGAACCTTACTTGGAGCGTACCTGAAACAGGACGCACCTGTTTGTTCTCACTGGACTCCTGAGGCCTAGAAGGAACAGGAGATGCAGGACTATGTGAACTCACAGAGGGGAGACCCCTGGCCTAAAAGCAGAGGGCAGTTTCTGCAGACTCCAGCCTTGACCATGGACATAAGGGGAGCGCACAGAATTGTACTAATCCAGGGAAGCAAGGAAATGTGATGGTGTTCTCCAAGCAGTCCAGCTTTGCCAGGGACATTCCCTATTTACAGGAACCTCTACCTGATAATAAGCTTTTTTTTTAAGGTGTTAGGGAGGTGAACACTCCTTTTGGGGAGGGATAATCACGACTGTGGAAGCAAGCTCTCTTCCATTGGAACTCATTCATGGAGACTGTGCACATATGGTTTTCCCCATGCAATCGGGACACCCATTATTTCAAGATTCCCGATTATGTGGATTCTCTAGTGTGCATACATACTTGTGACTGCAAGTTTTTTTGCACGTGATCCCATAACACGTGTAGATCAGTGGAAAGGGATTGACTGATTTGATCTTGCTTCTGCCCTCCCCCTTACTGCATCTCACATGAAGCTGCCTTATACTGAATCAGACCCTTGGTCCGTCAAGGCCAGTATTGTCTACTCAGACTGGCAGTGTCTCTCCAGGGTCTCAGGCGGAGGTCTTTCACATCGCCTACCGCCTGATCCCCTCTGCTGGAGATGCCAGGATTGAACCTAGGACCTTCTGCATGCCAAGCAGATGCTCTACCACTGGGCCACAGCCACACACGTCTCAAAAAGGAGCTATCGTTTAGGGGGCTGATTGCACACACCCATAACTGCCAATCCTGGTTCAGTCTGTGGCAGCTCCTGCTAAAGGTTCTTGGGTGGGTCGATGTTAGGAAGACCTATCTATGCCCGGGATCTTGGAAAGCTGTTGGTCAGAATAGACAATATTGTCCTAGTGTTGTTCGTAGACAGCCTAACATTTGGGGAAGGGGATGTAGCTCAGTGGCAGAGCATCCGCTCAACATGCAGAAGTCCCCAACTAAAAGGTTCAGGTGACAGGTGATGTGGAAGACCTCTGCTGAGACCCTGGAGAGCCATGGCCAGTCTGAGTGGATGATCCTGACTATGATGGAACAAGGGTCTGATTCAATAGAAGGCAGCTTCATGTTTGTCTATACAAAAGGAGTTGGCATTTCTCCTGGTAAATGTTGCCCACGGACAGCCAACCAGTTTCAGCTGTCTTATCTCCTTTCAGACGTTGCTTATCTCTACAAATCCTTGAGCCCAGAAGAGGACCCAGCTAATGAGCCAGTAGGTGAGTAAATCTACTGCTTCAAGTCCGGCGGTGATGGGGGGGAGAGATCAGCGGTTCGGATTAGCTTCATCCCTTTCAAGGCTGCTGGGCTTTGCAGAATCCTGATTCCTCAAAGCCTTGATCTGTGACAGTAGCTTGCCACACAGCAGAGGGTCTTTACATCCTTTCCCCCCAGAAGCCAACATTGAAAGCACGTGCCATGCGACCAAAGATACCTCAAATACCGGACAAAGCAATGATGGGACCTCAACGGCGTCGCCACCGTCAGCTACTCAGCCGCGCTATGATGAACCACAGCCATCCACTTCGACATCCAACCTCTTTAACTCTGCTTCTACCTCACCCTCTGAGTTCGTGTCTGCTGAGCAGGATAATCCCTCAACATCTGGTATATGTCTAATCCGCTGGGCCCTAAAGTTTCGTGATCATTAGCTGGCAGGGTTGTGGCTCGGCGGAGCATCTGCTTTGCATGCAGAAGGTCCCAGGTTCAATACCTGGCATAGTCAACTAAAAGGATCAAGAGTGGAAGACTCCAGTCTGAGACACTGGGGAGCTGCTGCCAGTCTGAGTAGACAATACTGACCTTAAGGTCTGACAGTATAAAGCAGCTTTATGTGTTCACTTGGCAGTCATAGAATTATAGAATCATAGAGTTGGAAGGGACCTCCAGGGTCATCTAGTCCAACCCCCTGCACAATGCAGGAAATTCATAAATACCCCCACACACATCCCCAGTGACGGCTGTTCTATGCCCAGAAGGTGACAAAAAACCTCCAGGATCCCCGGCCAAACTGGCCTGGAGGAAAATTGCTTCCTGACCCCAAGGTGGCAATGAGCATTTCTCTGGGCATGTAAGAAAGGGCCACAAGAACTGTGCACTGATGCAACCCTTCCTGCCCTCCTTCTCATGATCTGCCTAAGTTCACAGAATCAGATGGCCATCTAGCCTCTGTTTGGAAACCTCCAAACCAGGAGAGCCCACCACTGCCCGAGGAAGCCTGTTCCACTGAGGAACTGCTCTGTCTGTTTAGGAGTAAGTCACCTTGCTCCTAAAGCTCCTTGCTCCTAAAGTAAGGGCCTTGACTCATACTAAGGGGAGGATGATTTTTTCAGGTTCCCTTTTCACCCCAAATAGTAGGGCCTCTGTGGTTTTGGACAATCCCAGCCATCTCTTTCAGGCTAGAGGAGCATTAAAGAACAACGACTTGCGACTTAGTTTAGTTTTCCATACCGTGAAACTCTGCGTTGTCGCCCTCACGTTTCTCTTTTTTTGCAGGGTCTTGTGTCTTCGCTCCCGCACCTGTGTTGCCTGCCCTAGAACAGTGTTGTCCAAAAGAATCTCTTGTGCACAAGCAGCCAAATGTAAATGCTGAACCCTCTGATGTTCCTTCAGAGGTGAAACAGCAAATAGCATTGCCGATGCCTGAGCTTAAAAGCAGGGATGAAGAGGAAGTCTCCGAGCCTGCTAGGAAGAAAGTAAAAGGAGGTTAGTAAAGAAAGATTTGGGGCTGGAGAACTGTAGCCAAAGATTTGTCTTATTATCTTTCTCGGTCAGCATCTCCTCTTACCAGCATCACAAAGCTCTCCTTAACCTTCAGCCCCAGATCATTTATTTACTCTGAAATAGTTCCTGCTTCTGTGGTCCATCAGCTTCCCTGTCCCTGGGTCCTATGAAAGTCTCCCTCCCTTTTTCTCTTGCCCCTTTGTCCTCACCCCTGGTATCCTACCACCCACTGTGTCCTCACCCCTGGTATCTTACCTCCCACTTTGTCCTCGCCCCTGGTATCTTAACTCCCAAGCTTCACAGTGCCCTGGTATCCTGCCTTCCAGGCTTCAGTTTCCTTGGCCCCAGACAGAGCAATTGGTTTTCTTGAGATTCCCCAGTCCCCCCACGCTAACATGTGAACGCGCTCTGACATTTGCAGACATTTATTTATTTTAATTTATTTTATTCAACTTATACCCCGCCCTCCCCGCAACGCGGGCTCAGGGCAGCTTACAAAGGGGCATACGCCAGTATAAAACATTTAAAATCATTTAAAATCGTTACAATACATCTAACATTATAACCAATTGTTAACATATTTTATTTTATTTTATTCAGTGGAAGAGCTTAAGTAGTCGGTGGCCAGTTTCTAGCCTACCATGTAAGATCATCTACCCTTTAGTATTCTACTTTTAATTTCCTGTGGTCTTGTGATGTGTAGAACTAGAGGCGACCTCTAGGCCATGTAGTCCCGACAGAGCACTTGGCTAAAAGGAGAAGTGGCCATGAAGTATGCTCCCTTTCCAGTCTGCGTGGCTGTGGTTGCATGACATGAGCATGCAAGATACAGAATTTGGTTCTCAACAGAATCCCGATGATTAAAGTTGGAAATAGTAACAGAAGACGTTTCTAGTCAAAGTCTGCCGGAGAGACTCTTTAAAAACACACAGGCATGTTTTGTGAGGACTGGATAGAGAGGCGGCTGATTACAGGAGGTATCTGCAGTGTTGTACAGTGCACAGTGCCCTGCTGTTATCCACACTGCCTTCCAGTGGTCTGTTCCTCTCCCGGCTCCCATCAGATGACCATTTCTGGCTCTGTGTAACTGCCGCTTCTGACATGGTTGCTCATTGGGGGTTGAATTGATCCCACCCGCCTACCCCCCCCCTTGAAAGTCTGAGGCCTTAAGGGAGTGCCGTGTGAGAGATCCTCTCGCAGTCTCCATTCCACACAAGGTTGAGACCAACAGTGAACCTCTTGGCAGTCAAGCCCTAATGTGCTAGAGTTTCATTATGCCTTTGTGTGGGGGCAGCTTTTCTAATGCTACAATTGTGACATACGTCCTTCCCCTGTAGACGGTGATGCCACCTCGTACCTCCAGGTGAGTCTCCCCGATCGACGTGCAATTAAAACTGGCCCCGAGGACCCAAAGTCAGCCAACGTGAAGCCGGACAAAATGGAAGAAACGCTCACCTGCATCATCTGCCAGGAACTGCTGCATGACTGCGTCAGGTGAGGAAGGCTAGAGACTGGCCTGGGGGGCCAAATCTTGTACAGCGGTGGTGGGATTTGGGATGCCGGCCAAATTCTAAGCAAAGCGGGAGCGGGAGGGCAGAGAGACAGGAACCAGCGACTACTTTATTTTTCTCTCTACCTGGAAAGTGGCAGCTCTTATGTTGCTGTCACTACAACCAGAAGTAACTCCCACCAAGAGAAAGCTAGTTGGGGAGAAGGGGGGTGATCCATGGGCTGGGGAAGGGTCCAGTATTGATCCCAAGGCATTGTGAAGCCCACGCAGACCCCTGTTTTATAGACATCTGGCACTATATATTGGAGTTGGGGGTTTAAACAATGGGACCAGGTAGACTTGGGCCAGGCCGACCAGCGGGTCCCCCTCGGCTGACAATATAAATAAAACATTATAAAATACAATAAAAAATTGTATACACGGAACTTAATTTCAGCCACTTGAGGAGTTGGTGCGATTCATCCAGGGACCACTGGCAAACATTCAGCTGGGAAATACCGTGGACCTTTTCTTTCTATTTAGCATGCACGTGGAAACGCTCCATTCAGAAACTATTCTCCCTTTAGTGTCCTTGGTGTGCAGGAAGAGTCCGCAGCAAATGTGGCTGGTTCCAACCAGTTTGAGATTTAGGGGGGTTTTTTTGGCCTTCTTTGCCCCCCGTATGAATGCTGGATAACAATGCTTTAGCAGCGGCCACAACCAACAGATTCCCCTTGTCAAAGCCTAGACCTTAGACCTAGCACACCTAAGCCTCTTTAGTCTGTACAACCTGACCCTCAAATCTTTTTAGCTGTCCTGTTTCCTTCCCGTTGCAGCTCTTCCGGCCTCTGGGCCCGATGTGTCATTTGAGCCCTGTCTTACCTTGGCTCCTCCTTTCTTCAGCCCCACCTTTCTGTCACCAGTTGTTGTTCTGGATTCCTGCCTTTCAGCACCCACTGCCTTCTCGGTCCCCCTGCTTTTAGCCGTCCTGCTTGGCACTCCCCTCTTCCCCCCCTCTGGGTGGTTGCTTCAGAGCCTCAATGTTGCTTTCGTTTCCCCGAGCAACTGAGCATTCTGAGCCAGCATTCCACTTCAGCCAATCAGTGCCGGAGGCTTCATAAGCACCATCGAACGTAGAGCACCAGTGTGATGTAGAACTTAGAGTGTAGGGCTAGGAGCTGGGGGACCCAGGTTCAAATCTTCACTCAGCCATGACGTTCGCTGGCTGATCTCAGGCCATTCGCTCACTCTTTCTGCCTAATTTACCTCACAGGGATTTTTGTGTGGGTACAACGGAGGGAGCCCTGATCTGGATAGCCCAGGCTAGCCCAGTCTCATCAGATCTTGGAAGCTAGGCAGGGTCGGCCCTGGTTAGTATTTGGACAGGAAACCACCAAGGAAGTCCAGGGTTGCTCTGCAGAGGAAGGCGATGGCCAACCACCTCTGGACATCTCTTGCTTTGAAAACCCCACGAGGTCGCCATAAGTCAACTGACTCGACAGCAAAAAAAAAAAAGTAGGAAGAGAGAACTTTAATATGATGCTCCTCCCTGGAGGAAAGGTGGAATAAATGTGATTAATAAATAACCTCTTTAGGTCACAGGCTCAGAAAGGCTATAGCAAGAAAAACAAGCTGGAGTTTCCCATGCAAATTAGGGGGGGGGCGGTTTTAATTTGAATGGAACTTGTTGCAGCCTCATTTATAGAT